TCCGTAGAATTCTATTGTTTGTACTATTTCCTGTTGATTGCTCCATATTTCCATGAATTCTTAATGCTCAGATGTTCATGTTCATCTGTCTGCTCCTCAGGTGCCCTGATATACTTGTTAGACCTCTTCTGTAACTGCACACACCCCCAGGTCCGCACACAGACGGCAGAGCTCTTCTCCAAAATGACCTCAGACAAGCTGGTTGGACCAAAGGTCAGTCTGAAGTGGAAAAGAATAATAAATGAATAGAAATGAGTCAATAAACAAATAAAACAATGTTTACTCTCTGCCAGGTGCGTCTGACACTGATGCGTTTCCTTCCCGGTGTGTTCATGGACGCCATGCGAGACAATGCCGAGGCAGCAGTGCACATATTTGAGGGAACGCACGAAAACCCTGAACTGATCTGGAATGACAGCTCAAGGGAGAAAGTGTCCACCACTGTTCGGGAGATGATGCTTGAGTACGACACATTTCATTTTAAGCCATTTGACTGCTAGCTAGTAGCTTGTAGATCTGTCTAATGTTTAAATGAATTCTTTCAGGCACTTTAAACAGCAGAAGGATAATCCTGATGTGAACTGGAAAGTAAGTGCAAAAATACTGATATTGGTTCACTAAAGTCATTTATTGTGTTTGATTGATTGCGACAATAAATTCTCGGCCTGTGTGCTCAGTTACCAGAGGACTTCACGGTGGCTTATGGAGCAGGACAGGGTGAGCTCGAAGTTGGTGGAGTCTTCCTGCGTATCTTCATTGCTCAGCCCGGCTGGGTGCTACGCAAGCCTCGTGAGTTCCTGGTGTCCCTCCTGGAGATTCTTACCGAGCTGTTGGAAAAGAACAATCCCAATGTGAGTTTACTTTACTGAGAAATGCAAACAATACTTTTGCTCTTTTGTTGTCACACTTCTTACTGATGGCTCTGGTCCTCCTGCAGGGTGAAGCCCTGGAGACAGTTACCACGGCAGCAGTTTGTCTGTTCAGCACACAGAGCCAGCTGGCTGACCAGGTTCCTCCTCTGGGTCACCTGCCTCGCGTCATATCAGCGCTCAACCACAAGAACAACGCCGTACCCAAGAGCTCGATCCGCCTCATCCACGTGCTGTCAGACAATGAGGTGAAGAGTCTGAATAAATAGATGACGGTTTATTTTACTGATCCAGTATTACTCAGATAATTTGTGCTCTGTGGGAACCTCAGCATGAAGCAACATTATCAGGGATTTAGACTTGAAAATAATAAACACAGCGCTGATTGATTAACTTTTCCTTCCTTACAAAATGACACATTAACTAAATCATTTGTCGTGTGTGTGTGTAGCTGTGTGTTCGCTCCATGGCTTCTCTGGAGACCATCGGTCCCCTTATGACTGGGATGAAAGTTCGGGCAGACATGGCTGGATTAGCGTGTGAAGCTCTCAACCGCATGTTTCAGAAAGAACAGACAGAACTGGTCGCTCAGGTAAAATGTCAACATTATGGTGCTGTTTTTTTTCCTCACATGTTTGATGACTTGTCGTCTGACTAATACTGTAACTGAACTGAACAGGCTTTAAGAGTGGAGCTGGTCCCATACCTCCTGAAGTTACTGGAAGGTATCGGCCTGGAGACATTAGACAACCCATCAGCCACCAAGGCCCAGATAGTAAAGACTCTAAAGTCCATGACTCGCAGTCTTCAGTTCGGTGAACAGGTAAAAGATTATCAGTCAAATCCCTGATTAGTGCTGCTGTTTATTTCTTTTTAATTGTGTTGCTCATTCCTCTCATCTATCCTTGTTGTACAGGTGAATGAAATTCTTGCGAGGTCCTCGGTGTGGAGTGCCTTCAAAGACCAGAAACATGATCTGTTCATCTCAGAGTCTCAGACAGCAGGTTACCTGACAGGTAAAGTATTTAACCTACTGTCGAACACAGTTTCTTAATGAAGCAAAGAGTTTGAAATATTTCCTGACTGCTTACAAGGTAAGTCCTACGTGTCTTTGAGCTGTTGTTGAATCTTGTTGCTTTGCTTTATCCTAACAACACCTTGTGGCTGACTCCTCACTTATACTTAAAACCAGCGACCCTTTTTCTATCCACGTCCTATAACTTCCTGGCTCTGCCCTTCCCTTCCTTGTTGTCCTCCATATTTTCCTTCTCAGGGGTTTCCACTCCCTCTCTCCTGGCTGCCAGCAGCCCACTGCGAGGTGGGCTCTAGACTCCTGAGCTGGGCCCTCACAGCTCTCCTCTCTCTTGCTCTGATGCAGGTAGACGTTGACCTCAGTCCTGACGTCATTTCCTCCCTCTTTACCTTCATCTTCAACCCCCCACCCACTTAATTTTTTTCATTTTCCATCTTGCAGCACTGTAAACCTCGTCATTCTATCTTCACTCACCGACTTCCTACCACTGTGTCAGAAATTTACCAAAATACAGAATCTCTTCTGTGGACAATTGTATTGTTTTTTATTGGGAAAACCAAAAAGCCTGAAGAAATAAAAAATGGTGGCACCATGTAGCCAGCAATGGAGAAGAAAATAGTGCCTTTGTAAAACCACTCGACATCATGTCAACCAAAGAATATACTTTTTGTAGTTAGATTATTAGAATCCCTGCTACATGACATTTGTTTTCAGTCTTTCGGACCAAAGTTGGAACATTTCTGTCATTGTAGTGATCATCCCTTCATACATGCACGTGTTAATATCCTGTAGTTTAGTACATCGGTTTAGCTCCATCCTCAGAATTCCCACCTGCGCTGCCTCTCATCTCCCCTTCTCCCCCCCTGCAGGTCCAGGAGTAGCAGGTTACCTTACAGCAGGAACTGGCACCACAGTAATGCCCAGCGTCCCACCCCCTGTGGACAACGACATTGGAGACCTGGGCTGACGAAAACACACATATACACACACACACACACACACACACACACACATAGAGTCACGCCCAGGCACCCAGACTGCCCTGCAGCTTCACCGCCGCGGCTCAGACAGAAACTGTTCCGCTCCCCAGACGAGGGCATGGAGAGAGAAAGACGGAGGAGAGCGGGCCGTCATTGACTATCACCAAAATCTCTGCGACACCTCCTCCAGCATCACTCTCCTCCTCCCCCCCTACAAAAGTCTTCACAAACACTTTGAAATTATTTTAACGGATGACCACGTTTGTTTTGTTTCTGTGCTACTTTTCTTGTTTCTTCCGACAACACAGAAGAGTTTACTTTTTGTATGAATATATTTTTTACTAGATTCTTTTTTTCATAAGAAGACTTAAGCTTACTATAGGTTAGTTGTCTTTTCTCCATTATCCAGTTCTTGATTGGCTTCTTGTATATTCTGGGTACCTGAGGGTGGCCTCATTCCTGACACAGCTGTGCAGAGGAACTCTCCACCTCTTGCATAAATATGTCGATTACTTGTCTATTTAATGAGTCATTTGGAAAAAGTTAACACAGTTAAAATAGGAAATCACAAAACGGATGCATATGATTTCTCTCTCTTACTTCTTAATGAGAAAATGCCACTCTAGCCCTCAGACTGATTCCATCCACTCTTTCAAGGTTGACGCAGATCTGAAAATGTCCAGCCTCTTATTCCTTTGGTTTTCATATTTCATTCTATTCTCTCTCTGAAGGCTTCCGTCTTCTGTCTCACGTTTTTTTTTTTTTAAAGTAATTCTCTCTTC